TTTAGAAGCTTTTACCAGTAAAAATCTTTGTAAAAGTCTAATTGTATACAGTATATTTTGATTGATTGATTGACTAGATTTAGTCGATATTGTACGGTCATATTAATTCATGACGGTATTCAAAAATACCGTCATGAATTAACATGATCATTGGAATATTTTATCCTATCATGTAAGTAACTTAATTGGCCATGCTATTTTGTTTTTATTTATTGCATTTAGAAACAATTAATACGATTTATTCATATTTATGTAATACTAGCGACTCACTCTCGCTTCGCTCGGGTTCCCCCATACAAACTTACATCCTCATTTTCACCCCCTTAAAGGATGATTTCCGAGATAAAAACTATCCTATGTGCTTCCCAGGTTCTCAAACTATCTTCTTGCCAAATTTCATCTAAATCGGCTCAGTAGTTTCGAATTATTATTATATTTCCATATGCTTGCGTGTTATTTAAATATATAAAATATTATGATTATGTTACCATGATCAGATTATCTACTTGCTAATGAAAGTCACCGCAAAATCGGTTTAGCTGTACTTTTTCTTATCTTTTATTTTAAAGTAACTTTTTTCTTTTCTGAGATTGAAACTTTGAAAGCCCCCTATTAGTTATGACAGTCATCTAAATACTATTTGTATAGCAGGTTAGTAATGTTATTTAATTAATATCCTATGAAATATAAATATACTCGTAGTTAGCATTAATAATTATGCTAACAAAACTTTACCATTTTAGTTTAACGCCATCTAGTGATAAATATCTAAAACACTTAGAAGTGCTAATGTACTTACATTGCATCAACATAGCTTAATTTCTTGCCACTAGATGTCCTTAGTTAGACGGATTATGCCTTTATTTTTTTTAATAATAATACTAGCTATTGTCTACTACTTCTCTTGCATATTCTTGTTTTATCAATCAAAAGATGCTAGTTCAGCATTTATTTCGATTTAAGAATAATTTGGTATAATTTTGAATATAAAAAAAAATATTAATTTACTACTATTGAAATTATACTTTTTTTAGTATTTTTATACAATATCAATTCTGCTTTGCTTCATTCATAATAAATATACTTTTGTAATTTACTAATATCCTAAACTTTATGTATTGAGACGTATCACTTTTCAAATGGCATTCATGTCAAACCATTGCTGCCAAAAAAATGTATGAACACACGATTTACCAATGAAAAAAATATATTTAACTCACAATGCCTTTGAATTTGGACTTTAAATAGATAAGAAATTGGATTCTATTTTAAATTTTAAAACAAACTGTGCCTTCAGATTGTTTGCGGATTAATTTTGGTTCAAAATAAATGCGCGAAAAAATCTGAATAAGTAGTCTTGTTAAAAATGTCATACATTCGCGTAAATCTAAGAAAATATTCAATTGATAAAACAGTGTATAAATAAACATATAATTTCAGGACGTGGAAAATAAGAACACAGTAAACCAATGCAATAAGCTTTATATTATGACTTTTTACTTTATAAGTTTTACAATGTCACTTCAATTTTCGTATTTCCATATAAGATCACAATTAAATGTAGTTTTAACGATCACTTTATATCACTACTATTTAACCAATCACAGGAAAACTTTATCTTTTTACTTTTTACACATAAGTTTACCATTATTTTGATCAATAAGTTTACCAGCATAAATTCAATATTATTTTAACAACGATTACTTATCTTTTCTGGCGTAATGCACCTCTGTCCAAAAACTAACTCTTCCAACGGTTACCTTACGCTTTTATATCAATCAGCCGGAAGTGAAATTTTAATTATTTTTATAAAATCATCCTGAAAATCAGTTAAGTATCCATAATTTATAATTTAATTTTATTAAATTAAACAATAGTATTTCAGAATTTTTAAATGTAATAATATAATTATGAACTTCTTACTATTTGATTTATTTTCAAGCATTTATTTATAAGCATATAATTACAAAATTAGTAACTCGAAAAATATGTTTAATTTTAAGATATTGACTGTTAAATTATTATATTTTAATATTTCTTTAAAAGTATAACCAATAGATATTCCATATTAATTTGGAGTAGTCAAATATTTCCTGTTAATTTATTAATGACTTAATGAAAATATTATTATTATTCATGATTTCTAATTATGTATATTATTTTATTATGTACAATTTTACTACTCCGTCTAAGCCTAGTCTAACACTTGATACAGCGAGAAATATTTTTATTTACAGATACTATATACTGTACCTATTCAAGTGTAAGATAATCTACAACAAGTACCTACATCTTAATTTATAATATGTTAGAATCATTATCAGTTAACAGCTATAAATACAGAGGTCAAGTTCCTCGATATCTTATTGAGAGTAGCTTTTGAACGTGTTGTCAATGTTTACATTAATTAATTCAATTCAATTCTTTAGTTTCATGGCTTCTAGGAGCGCCATTTAGCACAATTTACTTCGCCAATGTCGCGTAGAATGGAGAAGGCACAATGTTTACAATTTACAGCAAGTTAAAAGAAACTTGTCTAAGATATATTATAGATACCTTCCTTATATTCTACTAGAATATAAATATTTTTTAACTTTTTCACTAGCTCTTCTCGGGACTGAGGTATTTTTTTTGCAACTTTGTGGTTCAGTCTTAACGTTTAGTAATCTTAGCACTTCTATGTATCTGAATTATAAAGTTTAGATTCTAATAAGTGGAAAATAAATTAGTTACTATATATCTGAATATGGGATATTTGTAATGGTAAAAATAAGAAAAAAAATATTAAAATTACTCAAATATTTTGATATCACTTCTAAGTGAGCAAGTTATTTATTAAACGTTTTACGGGAAACCTATGGGACTCTGCACATAAATATCCAACAAAATAACCACCAAGATATTATTCTAGATTTAGATTAGATTCGCTACGTTTTGCATTTTGTAATTAAGATACGCCGCCATAATCCATACTTAATATTATAAATGTGAAAGTTTGTTTGTTTGTCCTTCTTTTACGTCGAAACGGAGTGACGATTTGGCGTGATTTTTTTGTGTGGAGATAGTTGAAAGGCTAGAGAGTGACATAGGCTACTTTTTACCGCGGGAGATTATTTCATTCCTACGGGAAAACACGTTATAATACAATCCCAAAAAATATTTATGATCAGAATTACTTGAAACTTGGTATTAATGCTCTTCAATACAATTAAATAAATACGTGTTTTAGCGTTTTTCAAAATTCATCCTATATGGGGTAAAATAGGGGATTAAGTTTGTATGAAAACTACCTTTTTACAGTTTTTTTGTAGTTTTAGCGCGAGCGAAGCCACGGGTTCTGCTAGTATTATATAAATTTCATAAAAATAAGTAGAATAATATTGAAATGAGTCATTATATTTATCAAACGTGCGAAATGATTTATTGTAAACAGACTAACTGTAACGTCACACGTTCGATATATTCATATCATCGCTGTTTTTTTTTTCCAATATGCACTAATTTAGTTTACTTATAAATGATACCTGAAATATAAAAAAGAGTAATTAAATTTAATAAGCCATTTTCGTCTTATTAAATCATATCTTCTTTAGAATAGTTGTGATTTGAAACTCGATGAAACGAAATTGCGACAATAGAAAGAGACAAACACATAAAGATATAGAACTAAGCCGACGAGAGATTGAGATAGAATACATTACACGCTATTATGACTAATTGTTGCCATGGTAACCGTTGTATTGTCTGTCAAATGATATATAATATTATATTCTTTCCTTAAATGATCTATACATATAATAAAATTGTAACTAAGCCGAATATAGTTTTTAGAATTTTTGTCTGTCTGTCTGTTTGTTACCGCTTCACAGAAAAACCACTGCAGGGATTTTGATGAAATTTGGTATGATGATAGCTGGTTATCCCGGTCAACATATAGGATACTTTGTACCGCGGGAAAATATCACATTTCTGAGAAAAAATGCAAAAACTGCAATGTAAGAGTATACTAATATGTAAAACCTAAGAATTTGGTTTTTGGTCATCTGAACGCGGGCGGAGCTGGGAGCAATGCTAGTATTCTATAAATATATGATTGTAGTATGCCTAATACCTATGCCTTATTTAATTATTGATTTGTTTTAATTTAATTGCAATATTTGCCAAAGAAGTTTCACTTCTACCGTGAGTGGATTGCAAACACCATTTTTTTTTATTGTAAGTAGAAAAAAATACAATTATTTATTTCTCTGTTACTTGAATAACGGCATATTTTGTAATCATACTGCAATAATGTTGATGTAATACTTAAGATCTATGTGAAATATTTGATATTTAAATAGAACTATGTTTTCGGATTTTTAGCGAATTTATATTCGGTTCTGGTTGGAATTTTAAATGTTGATGTATTAATTATCCGAACGGATTTGAATGAGATTCGGATTATATATTAGCTTTATGAGAAGAAGAAACAAGTTTCATAAATTGCAAATTATATGTCTATTTACCCGAAATAGTTCTTTTATTTTATTACATAATATTATTGGAAAGCGCATCAAATTTAAAAATATAATATACGAGTATATTATGTATAAAATATATTCTCAATATTAAATATTATCTTATCCTAGCAATTGTGTTCCAAAACTTTATTATCAATATTTTCCTTTACAAACTTCTAAATCCCCACCCTCGCTACAATCAAATTGAAACCATTAGTAACCACAAAACTTTATTATCTAACCAAAATTAAATAATCCAACTTAAAAAAGCTCAAAGCTTTTCAAATACTTTCACTATCACATGTTATCAGCTAAAACAATTCAAGTAATACCAGAACGATACTGCGCATGACCGACAAAGTAACCGGCAGTGTGACCGACAGCCGCCAGTCAGGCCGTAGCCGATAGCGCGGCCGCGCGCCGCTATACGAAAACGTACACACTGTTGAGAAAAACGTCCGTTTAATTTTGAATAAAAAAGTGCAGTGTATAAATAAGAAAATGAGGCGCAACGTGAAGATTTTGTTTGGTTTTGCCGCTGCATGGATTTTTGTCCTCTTCTATTATATGCAGCCGGACTCTACTCAAGCTAAGGTAAATTGTTTATCGGGGATCAGCTGTTAGTCGTAATGCGCATGACCGAAGCTGCAGTGGTCCTTGTTTTATGTAATTTTAGTTGTTTTTAAAGTAACATTTTTAGTAAATTTGTGAAGAAATGAATATGTTTACATATTTTTCACAAATATAGAGACTGTTTCGCTGTAAATGTTCTACGAAATTGATAAGTAACGACTAATATCATGATCAGAGAAAACCCAAAGCGTCTTCGATAATATTAATTATTATAATAACAGATGGTTTTATTTCATTGCTTTATATATTTTAAAGATTATTTTACTTAGTAGGTTAAAAAGGTTATCGCGAATTCGTATATTTAACATACTCTACAATTGCGTCCTATAATTGTTTTAATTGGTTCTTTGAATGTAGTGCTGCAAATAGATGCTGTGGATAGCTAATGGTATTATGTCGTAAATTAATAAATTTACATAATTTTATGTCAGTTTATTCATAATTATTTCAAAGAAATAATATTTAATCTTAACACATGTTCGAATATAATAATTATACCTTGCTTAAAAAGCAACGTTCTTAGGGATATATGGTGATGCCATTGACGAAACATTCTTTTTAACATTGTATAAAAATTAATATAATACATAATTGGTTTTTTTAACCATAAAACCATGTAAAATAAATGTTAACATATTTATTTATAACAAGTCATTTACTCTGACCTTATTGCTATGTGCATAAATTTCACTATATATACATGAATGTGTTTTTGAAACAATTTCAATTAGTTAAACCTATACATATAATAAAATTCTAACTAAGCCGAATCTGTACATTAAATTTTTTTTGAAAATCTTATTGAAATAAACATTATTATCGTTACAGAGGCCGAATCTATAGCTTTTAGTATTTTTGTCTGTCTGTCTGTCAGTCTTTGACCGCATCACGGAAAAACCATTGGAGAGATTTTGATGAAATTTGGTATCATGATAGTTGGTTATTCGGGTCAAAATATAGGATACTTTTACTGCGGGAAAATATCTCATCTCTAAGAAATCTATGCTTTACGTTAAAACGTAAGTAGAGGCGAACCCGAGCGAAGCAAGGACGAGTCGCTAGTAAAATATATATTATTTTAATGAACAATCTAAAATAAACAAGTATACAGTTGCTTGGTTAAAATTTCAAAGACTATTACATGGCAGGAACAGGAAATAATATTTATTTAATTAATTCATAAGTCATTCTCGAAATTATTCTCCAATATTATAATTTTTGACAAAAAATCTGTTTCTTAAAAAAATTACGTATATTTTTTATTGATCATGAGTATGTAAAGATACATAAAATAATTTACATAAAAATTCCAAATTTTTTATTTAACGGTACTACATAAAAAGTCGTTTTAAAAATGTATCTACAATATTAGGTGCATTTAATCTATTCACAACAGTTCAGTGCCTTTTTCTCTTCTGTTTGTCAAACGATTTTCTTTTTATTTAATTTATTAGCTACCATCGCTTCTCTCGGGTTCGCCCCTATATTAATTCCCCATACAAACTTTCATTCCCACTTTCACCCTCTTCAGGGATAATTTCCGGAATAAAAATATTAATAAAATCCTATGTCCTTCCCAAGGTCTCAAACTATTTACTTACGAATTTTCATCTAAGTCAATCCAGTAGTGTTTGAGTTTATTCGTTACAAACATACAAAAATTCAAATCTTTCGTCTTTATAGTAGTAGTGTAGATTAATGACGTTAGTGTTATCAACAAAAAATATTACGATTGAATTTCGACTACATTAATGCCAATAACCATAGGTTGCTAATTAACAGTCAATTATATGTATACTCTATTCCGTGGGCCTAGCGTAAACCTACTAATAATCCCATGCTATTTAATATTATAAATGTGAAAGTAACTCTGTTACCTATTCACGGTAAACAGATTTCGATTAAATTTTACAAGGATATATATATAGAATGCGTCCTAGGATCGCACATAGGCTATTCATTCTACGCTTACCACGGTAACGAAACCGTGGACTAAAACTAGAGAAATATAAAATGCAAAAACAACACAACGAAAATTTTAAGTGGACTGCAAACAATCAGTCAAAACACAAACAGTCTCTTTAAGTTTATAATAATTAGTATAGATATAAGAATACTTTGAAAGTATCCACTGAAACTGATGAAGAGAAAATTATACATATACCTACGTTGATTCCCATACAAACTTTCATCCCCATTTTTAGCCCTTTAAAGGATGATATCCGAGATAAAAGCTATCTCATGTCCTTTCTAAACTATCTAAATATCTTCTTGTCAAATTACATCTAAATCAGTTAAGTAGTTTCGGAGCTCATTCGGTACAAACAAACAAAAAAACACTTTCCTGTTCATATTGTTAGTATATGACATTTCGTAACATTACCATTATCCAAAATCAAATGCTCTACAAACATTTTGTTCTAAGTTACGTTTTACGATCCTTAAGGTATAAGATATTTAACTTGTAGTATATTTTATGGTTGACTATTTATTCAAATATAATATATGCATTGTCTTTTGCAATAGATACATACATTTAAAATCAATTCGTTAACGATGTTGATGAATACATTACTCGTAAATATTAACATTTTGTATATTTTAGTGTACCTAACTTTTTAAAATTATGCAACATATAGCTAATTATCTTAATTTATTTTATAATTGGTACCTACTTTAAAAAATAATATAGGAGATACTGTTGATAATCTATATATTAGATAATATAAATATATAATATTCATATTTGTAGATACTTGCTAAGTAACATTTAATCTTTATTCGGATTTAGATAGCTTTACCTGCGGCTCTACTCGCTTTATTTATTTATATACTAGCGACTCACCCTCGCTTCGCTCGAGTTTGTCCCTGAATTGCTTTTCTATACAAAAAAAGAATGGTTTCCAGGGTCTGAAACTATCTTCTTACCAAATTCATCCATTCAGGTACGTTTTAAATTAAAATGGATATAGTATGTTATCCTTAAGAGATAGACATATGCCATCGCGGACTTTTCTGTAGACCTATATAAGATACACAATTCCACCATACACTATTTTGTTATAACTCAAAGGGTTTAGGCAGCGTTTTTGTAGAAAGCTCCCAGACGGCTTATTATTTTCGGACATCTCCAACAAATATCGTTATATTTTAGCTAATGTATATAAAAACTTAACAAATTACATATTAAAAAAACCTTCCTCTTGAATCACTCTATCTATTAAAAAGCCGCATCAAAATCCGTTGCATAAGTTGCCGTTCGGGCGTGAAAGAGTAACAAACATCCTTCCATCCTCACAAATTTTCACATTTATAATATTATAGTATGGATGAATCATTTATATTATAAAGCATGTAGTATAAACGTATATACTCGTATAATTTTTTTATTAAATAAAAGTCTATTTTGCAACAAAATTATTATTTTTTTGTTCATACATCGTTCTTATGACAATTGTTTTGGTAAACACTAAAAAGCGACGTTTCAGTGCTAGATGTTGTTGTAAATAGAAAGTGATTTTTATGCACCTACTAATATAATATCTTATATAACATAAAATACCCACATAACTGTTCTTTTACTCATATTATATATTTGAATATATGGTGTTTATATTATTTTACTGATAAATTGCCATTATATATAGTTGACATTGACAAAGCAAGCTCTGCACAATTGGTACTTTCTAAAATCATTAATAAGACAAAAGTTAGTATATGCGAAAAAGGATTTTGTATCAACAAACTCTGATGATGAGAATTTTATAGTTTTTAAACTTCAGATTTCAGTATATTTTTCACTAGCGACTCACCCTCACTTCGCTCGAGTTCGTCCCTAAATTGCTTTTCCATATAAAAAAGGAATGATTTCCGGGATAACAACTCCCTATGTCCTTCCCAGAGTCTGAAACTATCTTCTTACCGAATTTTATCTCAATCGGTTCAGTAGCTATTCGGTACAAACAAACAAAAAATCTTTCCTCTTTATAATATTAGTATAGACTAGCGACTCACCCTCGCTTCGCTCGGGTTGGTCCCTAGGTGCATTTTTTTTTGAGTGGAACCCTAGTTCTTTTACTGATTATTTATTTATTTATTTAAAAAAACATCAACTACCTGCCAGTGAAAGTCCCACCAAAATCGGCTCAGACAGACAAAAATTTTAAACATTGTGTTTTTCTAATAAATATCGTGTAGGTATAATTCCATATGCATTTAATAAAAAGCTGCTATTTTGACATTACAAACAGACACTTCAATTTTATTTATATGTATAGGTATAAAGAAATATTTCTTTTTCGTACATTTTCTTCAATATATTTTCCAATACTTAGTTAAAAATTGTATAAACATAACTTGCAGTCACGATAAGCAATGTTTACATGGCTTATCTCACAGAAGCGTGGCCTACTGAACATCTGATAAGATAACTTGGTGGCAGCAGGATGATTGAACTTAAAATTTATATACAGTAAGGACTTACCCTAGCTTCGATCGAATGCGTCCCTAAGTAAGTTTTAGTTTTTTTGAGTGGAACCGTAATTCTTTTTCTAAAATAAAAGAAGCTTAAGTTACTCTTTATAACTCAGTTATCAGCTATCTGTTAGTGAAAGTCTCGTCAAAATCAGTCCAGCCGTTTCGGAGATTAACTGGAACAAACAGACTGACAGATAAAAATTTTAAAAATTGTATTTTTAAAATTCATGTTCATTTAGTAAAGAGCTTTTATTTCGACATGACAAACAGTCACTTCAATATTTATCTGTATGTACTTATAAATAAATTTAAACTAAAATGTTGTATCTGTTCGATAAATATCTATACTATAATGTTGATTCGAGCAAATAAGAATAAATTTCAAGATAAAAATAGTGTCCGGTTTCATTTCGTCCGGTTTTAATAAGAATGAAACTAAATTTTAATATTATTATAATAAAATAAACTGCACTAAAAATCAGTGT